AGCCTCTGCAGTTTTGCTACGTGGGAGACTTGGCTGATATGCACCATGGTTTGGATGTGTTCCCTTGGAACTCATGTGTTTGGAACACAATCTCCAAAGTCATCAGTTAATCAGATTTGGAGATGGACCCTTTGGAAGGCAATTAAGGTTAAATTAGGCCTGAAGGGTGGTGCCCTAGTCCAACAGAGTGTGGCTTCATGAAAAGAGGAGAGACCTGAGCTAGGATGCCCTGTCTGGTCATGTGATTACCTGTGTTTTTGGATTCTGTGAAAAAACCCCTGCCAGCAAGAAGAAACTCACCAGACATGAATGCCCAGTCTTGAAATTATCAGCCTTCAGAACTGTGGACAGGATAAACCTTTATTCCATATAAATAACTCAGTCTGTGGTGTTCAATAATAGCAACAGAAAACAGACTGAGACAGTATATGACATTCTCTTTCACAAATATAGTTGGTTGAATGAAAGCGGGAGGGGGGAGGAAGTGGAAGTTATCAAGAGGACAAAATCTCTCTTGATAACTGCAAGTGAAGATTATTTCAAAAGAAAACTCTCTTTGTCATCTTGGCAATTTCTCAAGGGTATGGTTTTCCATCAGTCTTCCTCTCTCTGTTTCTGCACTCTCTCCTTCCCTCTCTGTCTCTCCCTCATCCATAGCTGCTGTCTTTCCCATCACAGTTTTCAGAATTGTAGGGAAGGGCTCCAGAAAAGCCATAATCTTGTCTTAGGTCAACATGTTGATCCATTGTGGACACATGAAAATATATTTCACTCCAAAATATTTTAGTCTAACTACTTAATAATAATTTAGCTAGAATGCTACTTTCCATGTTGTTGTTTTAGCAGGGCCTCACTATGTAGCCCAAGCTGACCTGGAACTTGATTCTCCTACTTCAGCCTCCCCAGAGAGGAATTTCAGGTGCACACCACTATGATCAGCAACACTACGTGCTATGTTCTTGACATGAAATGTTTCCTTTAATTCTCACCAGCTGTGAGATATAGGTATCACTATCATCTACCTCTCCTGGATGTGGAACAGCCTTTAAAAAAGTAACAAAACCTTATCAAGGCCACTGATTAGTAAGTGGTGGGCACAGATGTATATACAGGGCCGTCTGTTGACTTTGGAGGTGGTGATTTTAACAGTATGCCATCTTGCCTGCCTGTACTTGCCTCTGCAGAGGTAGCTTCTCCAATCAGGTCCTTTCCCACCCTCTCCTTTTCTGTTTCTTGTTAGCTTAGAGAGACTCTGGAGGAGGATTTTTGAACTTGAGTCACGCTCATCACCAGGACCATCACCTGTTCCACTCAGCTACACCTCCTTGTTGAACACGCTAATGACCTGGTATCTATGCCTGTCTGCTGGTCCTCTGACCAGCTGTCCCAAGGAGTGTCTTGAGTCTGACACGACTTCTCTTAAGTCCATTCAGCAGTTCAGGTATTTATCTGTAAAAACGGTGGAGTGAATTGGCAATGTTGATAGCTATTACAAAGGAATCCTTCAGTGGGGTCATACCAATTTAGACTCCTATCAGCAAGTTAAGAGAGAGTTTGTTTCCCCACCAGCTCATAAGTATGGGTGTTAATCCAACATGTTTTGCTTGTAAAATAAATAAATAAAAACATTAGGCTTGGTGTGTGGTGGCTCACACCTGTAATCCAAGCTTCTCTGGAGTTGGAAATGGGGAGGATTGAGGCTGCAGGCCAGCCCAGGCAAAGAGTGAGACTCTCCCTGCCCCATCTCAATCAATAAGCCAGGCATGGTGGTACATGTCCGTGATCCCAGCTACATGGGAGGCATAGGTAGAAGGATCGCTGCCTAAGGGCATCCCCACCTGGGCAAAATCAAAAACAGAACAGGAGACTCTACCTAAATAATAAATAAAGGAAGCAAAGAAAGGGCTCAGGGCAAAGCACCTGCCTAGCAAGCACACGGCCCTGAGTTCAAATCATAGTACTGCCCCTCTCCAGAAAAACAGAAATTATTACACACTCAGATTTATCAGTCTTCTCTTCTTGTGGCTTCTGGGTTTGTATCATGCTTCAAATGCCTTTCTCGCTTGGCAATTCTGCTCTTCTAATATTTTTACTTCATTTTGAAAGCATTTCAATCCTTGAGCCGTCTGCAATTTGTTTTGTACAGTCTGAGGTTAGAATCCAACTTTACTCTTTTCCTAAGAGTCACACAATTACCCTTAATTTTCCCCAGTGATGCACACATACTAAATGCCCAACATTTCTGGATCTTTCCTGGACCTTCAGTTATGTCTCACAGATGTTAGTCTATTCCTTCCCAGTTGTAATTACTGTAGCTTCATAAATTCTATCTGTTTGATATCTGTTTCTCCTGCCATGGTAAAGTAACAGCTGTTCCTTCCCTGCTGGGCATCATCACCGGGGTTGAGCTGGGAAGCAAAGGATGATTTCCACATGGCTTCTGGGGAAGGAAGCTTTCTCTCTTGGAGGAACAGAAGAAGCAGAAGCTTTGTAGTCATAAGACAAAGGTCAAACACAGTCTTTGCCTCTCACTCCCAGGGTGACTAAGTTACCTGACCTCAACAACTCTGGCCTCCATCTGTAAGCTGAAGACTCCAACAGCTGGTACAGCTGATGTGAGGATTAAATACATAAACTGCTGGGCCTGTGAAAGAGATTTGGTGTTTACTGGATTCTTGTCTCTTGTTTCCCCAACAGTTCAGCATAAAAACAAACTCAATTCTCACCAATATAGACATGCTCATTTCAGCAGAGGCAGGGTCCTGGGGTGGAGGAGGAGCACACACCTGAGTGAGACAAGGCTGGGTTCAGACCCTCCTTCCACACCCATCCCAGTGGAGCAATCTAGGAGCCACCTCTGCTGCTTCCTAGTGGGGAACATTGGGGCAATCCTTGTGTATCTCTCTGTACTTTATCTCCTTTTTTTTCTACTTTTACCATATGGGAATAGTTCTTGCCTTACAAAATTATCCTGAGCGTTAAATAGGATTTAAGTGTGAAGAATAGCAGGTGACATTTACCACAGGCTAAATAAAGAGTTGCTGCTAATGTTTGGAAAGGGCTCAGCCGGCCCCTGCAATCATCGGTCTCCACTAGGCTGGTCACTGTGTGACTAAGGAAGGAACCCTGTAGCACCCACAGATTGCTGGTTATCCAGTTCCTCCCTTAGAGGCCACTTACCCCTCCTCTGAGTTCTGGCTCAGTCATCCCCATGTCTGAAAGTCTTTTTCAAAACTGATCTCAAGATCTGAAAGTCTAGAGCTACCAGGCTACAGGGTAAGGGACTCGAAGCAGGGAGAAGATGGGGCCGGGCTCTGGATGTAATGATGAAGCACTTGGCTGTTGATCAAGTGAAAGTCATGGCTAGACAGATGACTTAGGAAGCTCATGTAGCAAGAAGTGCAGAGCATGGGTTTGGAGGAAGGAAGCCTGGCAGCAAAGAGGCTGCTTCAGTGGTCCTGTGACAGGGGCCACAGAGAGAGAGGGCCACAGAGAAGGCATGGATGGAGGAATCCTATAAAGTAGAAATCAATGAAATATGGATGCTAAAATGACAGGCATGGCAGAGGTGATAAAAGCCGTGCATTTGAACTTAAGGAAATGAATGGGGCAGCTTTTGGTTTTTTCATCTCATAACTAGCTTCTGGTCTCAGCTTAAATGTCACCTCCTCAAAGAGGCCTTTCCTGACTGTGCAATTTTTTTTTTTCCGGTATTGGGGTTTGAACTCAGGACCTACACTTTGAGCCACTCCACCACCCCTTTTTCTGAAGGTTTTTTTGGAGATAGGTTCACACGATCTATTTGCCAGGGCTGGCTTTGAACTGCCATCCTCCTGATCTCTGCCTCCTCAGTAGCTAGGATTACAGGCATGAGCCACCGGCGCCCAGCCTGCTCTATCCTTAATGGGGAGTTATTCCAGAATAACTCCGTCTTAGCTGTGAGACTCAAGAAAGACGCAGACAGATCCAGGATTGAGCAGAGTGCAGTTTTGGTGGGGGGCGGGGGGGGAGGACTTACTGGTGGATGTATGGTCCCGGACTGCATCAAGACCGGTTGGATTCCCCACAGGGAGGCTGGGGCAGAAGGAGGGACTCACACATGGGTTGGAACAACCTGGAATATACCTGGTTTAGCTCCCATGGAAGAGCTAGGCACACCCCTGAAGCCAGGGTGCCACACTCTCATGGTGTTGGCTCTTTATAGTTTGCTGGGAACCAATGCAAGAGAAACTGGCCAGGATTATTCTGGGACAATCATGGCGATCATGACTCCAGATGCCTTCAGTCATGTCACGCTGAATCTGTGCAGAGTCCACCCCAGCTCTATTGCACTGAATCCCCTACTGCACTGTGTCACACTTTGCAGTATCTTGTCTGTCTCCTTCAGACCGTAAACTCCATGAAGGCAGGTGTTGAACTAATGCGGACCAAGAAAGGCGGTGCATGCTGGGGAACAAGACCTTTGGAGGATCCGGGTTTGCAGCTCCCCAGCAGGGAGCGAGAGCCGAGTCTCTGCGCAGAGCTGGAGAGCGCCGGCAGGGTCAAACAACAGCCGTCTTGTCCTGTGCACTTCTTAAGGTTGCAAATTCCTCGGCTCTTCACACACACACACATTGGACCGCACTCTCTGGGGCTCTGATTCTCAGGGTCCAGGAATCTGCAAGTGGCCTTCGTTCGCAGGTGACTGCTGCTGGGATGCTCGGACCCACAGAGGCGTGTGTGCGGTGAGGAAAGAGGACAGGAGCTGAGAGGTGACTCTAGCCGTCAGAACAGGTGTCAGCAAAGGCGGCCAAGGCGGCTGCCAGACCGGAGTCAGGCGCCCATAGGCCTCCCCGCCGCCACGCCGCCCCGCCCCCGATACCTTTGGCCGCACTTGGCTTCAAGCCTGCCGGATCCGCCCCGCCTCCCGGCGCCCCGCCCTCCTATTGGCTACTGCCCTGCCCGTCCTCCAGCCTCAGCCAATAGGGCTGGCGTCCTCCGGAAGCCGGAAGCGGAAGTGCTGCCGCGGCGACGGCGCGCACGGCCTGTCTCCTTTGCAGCTGTCGCTCGGGGCTATGCGAGGCTTCGGGCCAGGCCTGGCGGTGCGGCGTCTCCTCCCTCTGCGGTTTCCTCCGCGGCCACCGCAGCCGCCCGGGCCCCGGTTGCTGAGCGGACCGGCGGCGGTGGCGGCGGACGGCGCCTTGCAGCGGGCCATGGACGAGCTCCTGCACCGCGCGGTGCCGCCGACGCCGGTTTACGAGCTGCGCGAGAAGACGCCGGCGCCCGCCGAGAGCCAGTGCGCCGACTTCGTGAGCTTCTACGGCGGCCTGGCCGAGGTGGGCCAGCGCGCCGAGCTGCTGGGCCGCCTGGCGCAGGGCTTCGGCGTGGACCACGGGCAGGTGGCCGAGCAGAGCGCCGGCGTGCTCCAGCTGCGCCAGCAGCCGCGGGAGGCGGCCGTGCTGCTGCAGGCCGAGGACCGGCTGCGCTTCGCGCTCGTGCCGCGCTACCGCGGCCTCTTCCACCACATCAGCAAGCTGGACGGCGGCGTGCGCTTCCTGGTGCAGCTGCGGGCCGACCTGCTCGAGGCGCAGGCCCTCAAGCTGGTGGAGGGGCCGCACGTCCGGGTAAGGCCCCGCCCGGGCCGCCCCGACCCCGGGACCCCGGGACCCCGGGCCGCGTAGTCCTCACCACCCGCAGTGACAGCCCCTCCCCCCCCCAAACTCTGGCCTTTTCTTCCTTCTTTCTGAGCCCTAGCACCCCTGACACCCTCCAGGCACACCTTGCAAGCCTCAGGTGTACGGTGCTCACTCAGTAGCGTTAGTGAAGGTGACTGTCACTCCTGGATCCTAGTGCTGTATAAAGTGTCACTGTTGTTATTGTAACTCAGCTGTACCCGAACAAGTTTGGAACAGAGTGTGTGTGTGTGTGTCAGGCAGCGTTGAAAACCTGGATGCTGTCACTGAGTTAATTTGGCGCTCACTCTGTGCAAGACGTTTTCTTAGAAGTCCCTATGAAATGCGCAGAGATGACTAGAATCCAAGGTCAGCACGGTTGACCACCTTCTCTGCTGAGTTCAGCCCTAAGAGTGATGATTCTCCGTTCACTTCTTGAGATAGTCAGGTGCTCAGTGCCGTGAGTCCACGTTAGATGCAGAGAAATACTTTGAGAAGTAGACAACCATGACCTGAGATTGCCCAGGGTTGCATATAGTCCTACACTATTAGTACCAAGTAGGGAGACAACAGCAACCTGCCCGTGTAGTGCGTGAGAAGTGATGTAAACGTTTCACAAGTTTCTGACATGCACACCCTTATTATGTGCTTTTAAAAGAAATTGAATAGTTGAGTGATTATGTCCTACCTCATTTAAGAACTCTAAAACTAGCGTAACAGTCTTACTTTTGTTCCCTCAGTCTTCGGTGGATGATATGGGTCTTCCCTGTTACAGCAAAAAAGAGAGAAACACTGATGCTGTGTGACCTGCCCAAGACCTCAGAGCAAACAGGTCTCTGGTTACCTTTTCTGATCAAGGGCTCTGTTCTTTCACCATGCTTTGCAGGCTAACTGTTTTCCAGAAACTTTCTAATTTTTAATGCCTTAGATGCATAAAAATTAGGTACAGTTAAGGATGGGATTAATCTCCGTGATAATAACTGCCTCTAACGTGATTTCCCATGATAGCTGGTAAATTTACAATACTAAATGTTACCGAGGGCCACAAACCTCTGCCACAGGACTCCTGGGCTGACAACCCCTTTGTTTAATTGAACCAGCCGTGGGTTCTCACTGTGGTGACTGTGTTCCAAGCTCAGGCACAGTCTGTGGGGCTAAACTCTCATGGACACAGTGTTTGAAATGTCCCCACAACTATATGTCCCCAGTACACCTGACCAGCTATAGTGACCCTGTGTGAATTTACTGCGTAGCAAAGTAACGAATGGGTCATCAAGCTAGGCCCTGGGGCTCCCGGTATGTGACAAACCCAGCATATTGATGCACCATTTGTCTTGAGATCGAACTGCTCCACACACTGTCTCAGGGTTCCGAGACTGGACAGAAGCTAAGAAGAACTCTAATGGCTCCTGCCCAGCCAAGAGGGTCAAAACAGCAGCTATTTGGACACTGGCCCTCAGTGATCTCTAACATTCCACCAGCTGTAAGTGCTCATGCTGTGAGGTATTACAGAATGCTCTTCCCTCTCAGGATGCTCCTAGTCACAGCATAGTCAACAAGGAACATAATGGCTACTGTCACTGTAACATTGAAGCTGACCTGGGAATCCAGAGAAGCCAGCAGTGCTGAGACCTTAGTCATGTTGTAGGTTTCCTCATTTTTCAGTGTAGGCTGCCCTGCTGGTAAGGGGAAAAACACTGCACTGTCAGGCCAGAAGTCATGAGGAGTAGGGGCTTTTGCCAACAGAGAATGAATAATAACAGCCTGACCTTTACCCTGCACGGGGCATGGACACCTTGAGTGCAGAAACTCTGGTTGCTCTGTCATGCAACCTCAGCCTGGAAATCCTGGCTTCTATCCAGTGCATTCAACTGGTAGTAGTTAACTTAGTTAATTGCTTTCTCCTTTGCTTTCCATAGTTAAATTTTTAAAATTCTTGTCATTTCAACCATTTCTTTCCTAGAAATGGTCAGTTGGGCCTTCCCCATGTCCCCACCAGAGTGGCACACTTGGGGAAGCACGTGGACCCACACAGCCATGTCCTTGAAACCCAAAGCCCAGTGTGCACAAGTGTTGGCTCTTGCTGCTGGCCATTCTATAGATTTGGCATGCAGTCTGCTTTTATTTTTTGTTTTACTTCAGGATTTTGCATCCTTGTTAAAGAGGTAATTCAGCAAGAACTTGTTACTTTTAGGAACTCAGCATTGAAAACCACCAGAAGTTTGGCACACAGCTTTAGAGCAGAATCCCCAACCCAAGGACCTTCTTAAATGCTAAGTGCTCGCTGCTAGCCCCTGGTTGTCCTCTAAGTCTCAGGCATGCTGTGCCCTGCCTCACAAGCTTGCTGCTGCCTGGCTGCAGTTGACCTCTGGACTTGCTAAGTAAGGTTGAGTGTAACCAGAAGAGCTCCTCTGGGCTTGGTGCTGAGCCTATCCCCTGCAGTGGTTTCAGGAAACTGCAGGATTCATCAGGGTCTTTTGTTTACAGATCCTCTGTGTGGTGCAGAGCCAGTTCTAGACCCTTTCTTACCATCTACTTGTTAAGAGATGTGATTTTATCCAAGTCACTTAAATCCCCTGGATCCTTTGGCACTGCGCTGAGGTGAGAGATTCAGTTGATGGTCAGGAGCTCAGGGTCAGCCTGCTTCTCTGTTGGAGCTTTGCTAAAAATAAACAGCCCAATGCTGGTGGCTCACACATATAATCCCAACTACTCGGGAGGCAGAGATCAGGAGGATCATAGTTTGAAGCCAGCCCAGGCAAATAGCTCCTAAGACCCTGTCTTGAAAATACCCAACACTAAACAGGGCTGGTGAAGTGGCTCAAGTGGTAGAGCACCTGCCTAGCAAGTACAAGTTCAAATCCCAGTACTGCCAATACTGAGAGCGCTGTCATGATTATTGGAAATAGTTACAACCAAAGGTTGTGGCTACTGAAAATACAAGAATCAGGAGGCTGACATTTCCATCGTGAGTGTAGGCCAGCTTGGGGACCAAGGGCCTGTGACCAGGCTGGAGTTTATCTCTTTCCTTGGGTGTTTTAAGTCAGATAAGGTTTTTGTTTCTCTTGGAGGTTTATAATCCTTTTTGATATGAAGTTCAGACTCAGTATCAAGTCTCCTTTCTGGAAAATGCACATACTACTTTGAAAGTTTTTACAGTGTGACCAAAGATCAAATGTCCATGTTTTGTTTGTTTGTTTGTTTTTTGGTTCATTTTTCAAGATAGCAAACCCAGGATGTGGAAAAGGTGAACACTGCTGAGCACTGATTTTTATAATGTTACAAGGTCCAGGTATGTGGTACACTTCTGTAATCCCAGTACTCAAGGGGCTGAGGCAGAAAGATCAAGATTTTGAGGCCAACCTGGGCTATAGTGAATTCAAGGCCAGCCAGGCCTATACAGCAAGACACTGTCTCAAAAACATGAAATAATGTAAGTAAAGTCAGCCAGGTAGGGCTCCTGTGAAAGGAACCAAGTTCTCAACCAGAAGGTGGATGTTGTGTGCTGACACAGGCTCAAATGTACAGTATGTCCAGCTCAACTTAATGGCCCCATCTCCAGGCTGTGTCTGAGTGCATGGTGGGGCAGGCACTAGGAGAGGGGTAGGGAGTGTGACTTGTAGGCCCATTTGGTTAATGACTTAAGTTTCTTAGAGATAAAATCCCAGCGAACCGGAATTGAATCCCCACAGTAGGAGAAGGTCTGTGCTGTTCAGTGGTTGGTCTGCACTGACCCACCAACAGTTGGCATGTAGATGATGAAAAAGTTTCCTGACAAGCAGTTTGTACATAGGATTCATGGTGAACTGAGGGTACCCAACTCTTGCCAGAAGTGAGTGAGCTCTGTCGGACACTGTCCATGTCCCCACCTTCCCCCATCACAGCCACCAGCCATGCTAGGTACTGCTGGGCAGCCTCCCTGCCTGTAAGTCGAGAGTATTCTTGTATGTTGTAAGTTTGTGCTTTGCTAAAAAAAAAAAAAAATGTTTAAATAGGAAGGTATGTTCAGTATATCGAGTATACACCTGGGGGTGGTAGCTTACTTGGCGTTGTCCCCAGTTTCTAGCCCTACAGTATTTCTCTTACCACTGGCTTGCTTCCACCTCCCTCCCCAGCTCAGGGTTCAAACCAGGCAAAAGTAACTTTTCTTCCCATACAAAAAGAGGCAGATGTTTGTTGAGAGCCAGAAGCTTCAGAAGAGGATGGGACACAACTCTGCTGAAAGGAAAAGTGGGGTGGTCTTCTAAACAGTGTCTGAGAAAACTGAAGTACAGCCCGAGCAGACAACAAAGACTGATGTAGGCTTCTCCAGACAGTCCCAACCACTTGTGCTTTTCAGCCTAGTATTGTCAGTGATTGCTGGATTCATGAGTACAGAGCAGAGGTCATTTCCTTCTTGCCTGTGGTTTGTGATCCCAGAACCTCGCAACACACTCTGGTTAGTTCTGGCCTGCACATCTGTCATGGGTGTTAGAACTCTCAGTGACTTCTCACCCTTAGCCTAGATTCCCAGCTTTCCTGTCCAGAATCACATGTCATTGCTGTCAGCAGCCCAGAATAGAATGAGAGACATTTAGAGAAGCCAGCCCATTTCTTTCACAGTTAATGCTGAATTACTACTGAAACCCAGCACTTGCAGGGTTTGCTGCACCTCACACTGCAGTCAGCTGGCCGTCCCCAAGCACTCAATGCAAAAGGCCCAACCTGGGTCCAGGAGCACTAAGAAATTGGGTGCAAAACTTACTAAATGTTTGCATTTGGAGGGGGAAGTTTCACTTAAGACTGTGAAAGGATCTCAGGATAATTGTAGCCAACTGCAAGGCAGGCAGTTTTATGTAAAACCATTCTGTATTGCTCAGCAAGCAGCATCTCTCCTCCTCCAGCCCTGCTACTTCCTAATCACTGTTCATTCCATTTTTTTCTTTGTCATTGGATATCAGCATTTTAGTGAATGCCTTGGAACTGTAGGATGAATCAGAAATGGACTTTGCCACTCAGAGCTTATAGCTGAGTAAGGAGATGAGATTAGACAATGTAGAGTTAAAGGACCTGCCCCTGACCTGCCCAGCCACCTGCCAGGTGCTGACATCCTTTCCAAGACACTGCACCCAGTTAATGTGCTTGCCTTAGTCTCTTAACAGCTGTGAGATCCACTGTAACATCTCCTGATAACATCTGTGGCAACCCCAGCCATCAGAGCTCTTTTACAGCGAGCTCAGGCCATGGCTTTTACCAATGGAGCCTGGGTGTACGGTCACACAGAACAAGACTGTGGCCTCCTCTGTGCCCTAGTCTTTAAATATATGAAGGTAGATGTCACATCTTTCTGAACTTCTCTGAAACACCAACCCATGCCTACCACTTTTGCTCAGGTGACAAAGTTCTGAGGCCTTTCATCTTTTGATAGGAAAATGAAATGTGAAATAGCCAGGCATGGTGGCTCACATCTGTAATCCCTGCTCTGTGGTATCCTTAGTAGACTCAGGTTTTGGTCTTGCTTGTTCTTACTGCTCTATCCTGAAAAGCCATCTTTGTAGTCACCTCATCTTACACTGTATCGCTGACCAATGAGTGCAGGAGGGCCTAGCCTGGGATCCATGAGCCCCAGGAAATAGGATGCAAAATTTTACTAATGTGTAAACCCAAGATGTCTGCCCTAATGCTAACCTATCACAGCACCTACCAGTCCACAGAGAAAAGAGCAAGGAAAAGGAGGGGCAAAGGAAGCCCCTGGGTCTCTGAAGGTGCCCCAAGGATGCAGCAAGACACCTCTGTCTACAACTTGCTAGCTGCATGTAGTACAGACTTTACTTTATTCTGGACACCTGTGTGCCCGGCTGAAAACGAGGGTCCTATTAATGTGGAAGAGGGCCGGGGTGTTTGGGCAAGTGGTGGGAATCAGTGAGCCGCACTGCATTCCCTCTTCCATGGTGGCAGCCTCTCTGTGTTTCCATGTCCCACTGTAGTCACAGGCAGGTACACTGAGCTCCAAAGTCTGCTCAACTTATTTGCCTCCTGTTCTGTTCTTGGATCAAGTCATTGTGGAAAATAGAGCTTATAGAAATAAGAGAAGCAAAGTTAGAGAAATTTCACCCAGTCTAAAATGGTTTGTATGTATGGGTTTGGCAGCTATGCTGGTGTTGTATGTCCCACTAAAGTAGATTAACACACTCCCACTTAAACTGTGACCCTGACATCAGAGATGTTAAACCGCAAAGATGAGCATCTGAAAGTCCATGACATTGGGTTCCTAGACCAAGCAAGCATGTGTTTCTCAGGAAGCAGGGAGTAATGTTTTGCCACATCAAAGAGTGTTCCTGACAGGATGCAGGCTCGCTGAGCCCTGCACAGTCTGTGTTAGCCTCCATGACAATGTCACATGAGTTTTACGTATTTAGTTACGTTCACTAGGTGACTGAATTGGTCAGCTGGTGACCAATATTTTATTTGGGCAACTTAGGTCATAGTGAATAATCCATTCAGGAGACTATAGACTGAGGCAGGAAAGTCTAAGTAGAAAGCTGAGCTAAAACCAGACTTGGTTCGAGGTAAGCAAACCCCAGATGTGTCTCAGAACAAGCTTCTGAAAGAAGCAACTTGCTGTCATGTTTATGCATCTTAATTCACTGTTCCAATGGCAGCAATGCCGAGATAGCCTTGATGTGTTGGAGCTGAAGGCTCACCCTTATCCTCTCTCCTCTCCTTTGCAGGAGATGAATGGGGTGCTGAAAGGCATGCTCTCAGAGTGGTTTTCCTCAGGCTTCCTGAACCTAGAGCGGGTCACTTGGCATTCACCATGTGAGGTACTCCAGAAGATCAGCGAGTAAGTGTGTGCTTTGCACTTTCCTCTGTTGTAGCTGAAAGCCAGTTCCTGCTCACCTGATGGATTCCAGACCTGTATTCTCAAAAATATGCCTGTCATCACAAGTGATTTGGAGATGGGGGCGGGGCCCAGAATACACTCACCAGTCTGTCAGTGACCAAGGGTCTTACAGCCTCGTATTTAAAGCCACAGGCCCATTTGCAGCTTCCCAGGACCCCATTGTGTTACTCACTGGAGCATGTATTTGCATTAGTAATCAAAACGGTGTTTATCTCATCTACTTGTTCAAATTTCTCCCTTGGATAAAACTTGTAAACTATATCATGCTTAATTATAGCATGTCCAGGATACAGTATAACCCATGGTGTCCTGCCCACATTCCATGCTGTCCTGTGGAATCTCAGGCTTGAAAAATGTCCTGAAATGTGATGGCAGTGCCTTCTGTCATTTCATGTGCCAGAAACAGCGGGGGTGAGGTTGATGGATAGCCGCTTCCCAACTGCAGGGGTACAAAGCAAGGACAAGGCAGGACATTCAACAGCTGAGCATCCCAATAGGCTTTGCGTTGAACCCTGCTGCACACATGCTCCCCAAGAGCCTCAGGAGCAGCTCTTAAAACCAGTGTTGAGAATAAGAGGACAATTTTCTATGTAGAGTCATCCTAAATTGTAGCTTCTCTCAGTCAGTGCTGTTTCACTTTAAAAAGATTTTCTTTGAATTCTCCAAAAGAGTCAGTTTAAAGCTGTATTGAAAGGGTTTGTGTGACTTTAGTGGATAAGATGAATAGGAGTCAGCATTGTTGTTCGACTAGTAAGTTATGCATTTGTCCTGTCTTTGTAATTTTCTCCTCAGGTCTGAGGCTGTGCATCCTGTGAAAAACTGGATGGATATGAAGCGCCGCGTGGGGCCTTACAGAAGATGTTACTTCTCTTCTCATTGCTCCACCCCTGGGGAGCCCCTGGTTGTTTTGCATGTGGCACTGACCAGTGATATCTCCAACAACATCCAGGTACCTGTGAGCAGGCACTCAGGACAAGATAGGTGTCCCACAGTGTCTCACAGTGGTTTTAGCTTGGTTTTGTCTCCTTTTAAAAAAAACGATGGCTTTAAACTTCAATGGACATTGTGACTGTGACTGGGTAGTACAATCTTCAAACTTGTTACAAGTTTATAAGTTGCAGGATACAGGAGTGAGCTATACAGACAAGTAAGGCCTTAAGAACAGGGTTCACCTGGCTATGTTGACTTTGAGTTGAGACAGGTTGAGATCGGATACAGGACATTTCTATGAGTGGTGATGGAAAAAGAGAGAAAAGGACAGATGTGTGGTTGAGGTTTTCACCATTTGTTAAGTGCCTGTGGGGAGTTTAAAGGATATCTGCCCAGGCGCCAGTGGCCCACACCTGTAATCCTCGCTTCTCAGGAGGCAGAGATCAGGAGGATCATGGTTCAAAGTCAGCCTGGGCAAATAGTCCACAAGACTCTATCTCAAAGAAAAAACATCACAAAAAAGTGCTGGTGGGGTGGCTCAAGGGGTAGGCCCCGAGTTCAAGCCCCAGTACTGCAAAAAATAATAACAATAATAAAGGGTATGTGATTGAGAAATTGAAAAATAGACTAGGTACCATGTGCCTGACACAGGCCAAGTGCTGCCAGGGAGGGGAGGGTGTGAGAATAGAGTTGGCGGTTTCTCCCTCTGGTGAGTCATTGCCATGACACTCACAGAGCAGCCAGTCAGTGACCCCTGGGGTCTGGAGACAAGAGAACAGATTTCCAGTGGAGTGAAAGCAGGTGACAGAGAGTATGAGGCCCCTGAGCCACAGCAGGTTCATTCATACCGAGAGGATACAGGATGAGGACTTTGGGGTCAGAGAAGGCTGTTAGGAGGATAAGTGGATAAGAAGGCATCACCAGATGGGCACCCTGGCCAGGGTTGTCTCACCCAGGAGGGCAGACAGTAAGGTGGATTTTCTTGGTTTTTGTTTTTTGCAGTCCTGGAGTTTGAATTCGGGGTTTCCTGCTTGCTAGGTCAAGTGTTCTTATCACAATGAGAAACTCCTGATTTTTGTGTGTGGAGGAGTCAGCAGGCCATGCACTGCTATGGGCCTGGGAGTTCTTAGGACCTCTCTGGGGAGGTTTGGCAGGGGATAGTAAAATACAGACTGCAACTCTTCCAACCTGAAGACTGGATGCTGAGGGCTTTATCCTGGGGAGACCCAGCTGGAGCTCACTCAGTGCTGTTTGTAACTTCAAAAGGCTAGGGGTCAGAACTAACTGTCCTTCATTAGAGGATGGCTCAGGAAATGTGTCACCCACATGTGCACTGGGTTTCTACGCATAAATTTAAGCATCTGTGTACTTGGAAAGCCAACCGAGACTTACTGGTAAGTAAGAACAGCGTGTATACTAAAGTATTTGCAGTATTCATCACGCCTATGGGTCTGTGCCTAGTAGTCCATGAACCACATCCTATGTGTTACCAGAACGCTGAGTTGGGTAGGCCTCATATTAGATATAAGAAAACTGAGGCTTAGGAGAATTGAGACCTGATCCAAGGAGACAGTGCCCCCATGAGCTCTGGGCTAAACAGCCCTACATCAAGAATGGTTAAAAATCTGTTCTTCAGAAGCACATTGGCACATCTGCTTCCATACACACGAAAACGTAACCACCTGCAGTGTCTGTTATCAAGTGACCTTCAGAGTATTAGGGTTCAAAAACCCTGCAATCAAAAGTGAGAGCCAACATCAGACATCAGCTAAATGACTTCAGCGGTGTCTTAGATTGCTTTGTGTCTGTGTGTGTGTGAATGTGTATTTTCATTTAAGGAAAACAAGGCTGTTGGCATGGAATTTTAAAAGATACCTAGAAAAGCCAAAAAATGGTAAATTTTGAAAAAGAAAATTATTTTGGAGTATATGACCTACTGAGAAATTTGAAAAATATGAGTTCAGAGGGGAGCAAAAATAACTAAAGGGTAGAAAAAGCAGACCTTTGAAGAAAATCTAAAGAAATTACATAATGTGTAGCCAATTGGCCTTGACAAAGGCTTGGTGTGTTATGTCTGATGTTACAGGGCAGCAGACGAAGCAGACTTCAGTTTGCACAAAAGCCTGAGAAAGATAAAAGGGGACATAAATTGCTATTCAGCAAAGCTTGCACAAGAATTTCAAAGTGGTAGAAATGACAGTGCTGAGCAAACAAACCAGGAAAGTTGTGAAATCGTTGCCTCCAGAGAGTTTTCAAACAGGACAGTCAGCGAGGGGATCCAGGGTGTGCTGCAGCACGTTTACTTCCCTGGGAACTGTCTTTCAACCAGTGGAGGGAGGGCTGTGCCCCGGGAGCATGAAGCCCTCCCTGAGCACCACCACTGTGTCCTTCAGGCCATCGTGAAGGAGTGTCCTCCGTCAGAGACAGAGGAGCGGAACAGGATTGCGGCAGCCATCTTTTACTCCATCAGCCTGACCCAGCAGGGACTGCAGGGCGTGGAGCTGGGAACTTTCCTCATAAAGCGAGTTGTCAAGGAGTTGCAGGTACATGAGACAAAGGCGCCTCTTCCCTGGAAGGTCCGGCCCCGTGTGTGAGTGCAGGTCAGCAGTGAACCCAACAGTGAACCTGGTGGGTGTTGGGGCTCCCCAAGGGTGGAAATCCTGCCCCTTTCTCCGGGGACACAGGATGAAGATGGGAGTGACCAAATGACAGGAGGAGGAGCAGAGTGGGGCCAGGTGCCACTTGCCAGGTCCTAAGTACTATAAGCCTACTGAGGAGGAACTGCGCTGAGAAAAGGCACCTAGACTCCAGCTTCTCAACTGGCTCAAGTGCGGGTGTGTAGTGTGACGACCAGCTCTGTAGCGGGACCTCATCCTGGTTCCCCAGGCACTGCTGATTGCATGGCTTATCTAGGCACATGGGTCAGAGTGACCTCCTTTCACTCTGAGCCATCCCAGTCAGTGATCTAGTTTGAGGTACTGTTCGCCATGCCTGACCTGTGCCAGCCCTCTCTGCCCACTCTCTACAGGGCCTTTGGCCCTTGACACTCGTCAGCATGGAGGGTACCGAGGCTAGACCAGGGAGATTGAAGGTAAATGCGTTGGCTTATATTGGTCTAAGCCCCTTCTCTTTGTTGCCTGAGAAGGCCACTTCCTCTGTCCTACAACAGAAGTGCTCCAGTGCACTCTGGGCCTAGCTTTTCAAACCGTCCCATCAGGGAACTGAGTGAGCCACAAAAGTAGAATCTAATTCTGAAGTAAAACAATTATATTGCTAGTATTGGCCCTGAGCATCTGTTTTCTGCCTCAGGCCTTCTCTGCTCCAGCGCAGGGCTCTGTGCAGATTCTTCCTTAGAGGGCTCTGTCTGTCACAGAGTCCTCAGCTTCAGTTGGAGAAATCACATTTCAGTGGGGAGTCAGTTTCTTTATTGTCGCTCTCTGCCGCTTTTTTCCCAGAGGTGATAACAAGCCACATGTAATTAATACACATTTCTTATATCCTGTTTCTTTTCTGACAGTGTTACTAAGTTGTCACAGACACAGGGTAAGACAGGAGAGGAAGAGCAGAACCCAGGATTCTGGATAATCCTCCCACAGACTCCTTGTGAGGCACAGCTGGCCCCTTAACCAAGTAGCCACCCTAATGTGGTCACTTCTGGGAACTGCCCTGAGAACCATAGGGGAGTTCTGCTGTTTTACCCAGGGTTTACAAAAGCAAAAATCTTGAGAGCAATCTTAAATGCCCATGAGAAAGATGGTTAGTGACATCATGGTAGAATTTTATCTCTTAATATTACTCGGCCGTTAAAGTTGTCTCCTTGAGCTTTTATGCTCATTAGAAAGCCTTCATGATAGTGCAGGCTTTAAGATGAGTCTCAGCCATACAAAAACTGCACAGAGAAAGACCAGAAGGCCCACACCTTGCCAGATTACTCTAGGAGCAATGCTCCCAGGAGTGGAGAATGTTGGCTTTCTTTTCTTGAATAAGTTTTTAAAAATTCCATAGGGAGCACATGCTACATTTATGATCAGAAAATACTGTGTTTTTACAGTAATCAAGATCTCTATGTAATTTGAACAATAATGACACACCCTTGGTGTCCCCTATTCTCCTGTACCCCTAGCCCCACTGTCCCCACTGAGCTGGGCAGTCAGTTACTCATTCAAGCATTACTGGGCCCCTGTGTGCCAAGCATTAGCCCTGGCTCTGGGGCTACAGAGGCCTCACCAGGAGGGGTGTGGTGCAGAGAGAAGATGAGGTCTGAGGTAAGAAACTGTTGACCACATCCCCGCAACACAGGAGACAGGACCTACTGTGTCCCCTACTCTCCAGCCTCTTTGGCCATTGTGACAATGGTGCAGATAGACACACCACCGTGAAGGCTTGCTTTGGGGACTACAGATGCCTCCAGGACCTGACACAAACCAGGTTCCTCATAAATGTGCCTTGAAAGAAGAAAACTGCGATAAAGCCTGTCTGATGTCACTGTCACCGCAAGCAGGGGCAGAGGTGAATGACTAGACTAAGGTGAAGGGGTCCTTCCTGTGTGGGTACTCATCTGCTGAATTTGTGTGTGTTTTCTCCACCTTCCTCCCTCCACCACCTGCTACAGAGGGAGTTTCCTCACCTGGAGGCGTTTTCCAGCCTGTCACCTATACCTGGGTTCACCAAGTGGCTTCTGGGGCTTCTGAGCTCACAAACAAAGGATCATGGGCGGAATGAACTGTTCACAGACTTGGAGTGCAAGGACATCACTGAGGCCACAGGCGGTCCCACTCACGAGACCCTCAAGATCCTCCTGAGCAGCAGCGAGTGGGTGAAGTCAGAGAAGCTGGTACGCGCACTGCAGGCACCCCTCATGAGGCTGTGCGCCTGGTACCTGTATGGCGAGAAGCACCGCGGCTATGCTCTGAACCCCGTAGCCAACTTCCACCTGCAGAATGGGGCCGTGCTGTGGCGCATCAACTGGATGGCCGACAGCAGCCCCAAAGGCCTTGCCGGCTCATGCGGCCTCATGGTCAACTACCGCTACTACCTGGAGGAGACGGGCGCCAACAGCACCACCTACCTGGGCACCAAGAGCATCAAGGCCTCCGAGCAGGTCCTCAGTCTGGTGGCCCAGTTCCAGAAGAACAGCAAGCTCTAAGCCCTCCCTGCCCAGGCTCAGTCCCCGCTCGGAAGACGGTCATGTTCTGAGTGGTTGGGGGCTACTTCTCAGAAGGAGCCACTTGAGAAAAACCACAGCTGTGCTGTGTGGCCTGCCCGCAGCAGGGGCACTCTGTGAGGCTGTGCCCCGCTGTCCCTGCACTGGCAAGGCACGTTACCTGATGGAGATAGTGGCACAGGTGCATCCCCTACTACACCTGGCCTCCAGAACCTCTGCTGCTGCCCTCAGGACCGGGACCCCTGCACTTGCAGGAAGCTCCGCAGCTCTGCCACTGGTGCTCAGGGCTGACTTGTGGGCCCCACAAGGACCAGCTGAGAACAGATCCTCCTTGAGCTAGTAGAACAACTCGCAGTGGTTGCTTTAGCTGTTCCTCTCCATGCAGTCAAAGGGATACAGGGCTGGGCTGCATTCTGTGAGCTTCAGAGCACAGAAGCTCATAACTGTGATAAGGTTCTGACTTTGCACAGTACATAGTAAGTTAAATCCCCGAACCAGAAGATGTTGCTGCTTGAGGCCTATGTTGGGTTATAAGCTTTAAATTTTCAGTGATTCAAGTTCATAGTGAACTAAATAGTAAAGAACACGTTTGTTCTATAAAGCATTAAACATGATTATTTAATGGTTATCTATAAGATTTGAGTGCTGGTAAGGCTGGACTCAGCTCTGAAATGTCAGCTGTGCCATCAGTCCCCAGCCAACCCTTGGGGTTAGGGAGTAGGTCTTGACAGGGACCAAGGAGTGTGGAATGAGAAGAGATGCAGAAAGAAGCCATCACTGTGCTGGCAGGAAAAAAAGGTTGGGGGGGTTGGTCTGTGTGTGTTGTCTGTGTCAGCACATCCGTGTGTGTGTATGTGCCAGTGTGCATGGGTCTATGTGTGTCTGTTGTGCATGTCTGTGTGTGTCTGTGTCAGTATGTGTGTAGTTCTGTGTGTGTATCAGTGCATCTGTGTGCACGCATTTAGGTGGGCACAGTGTTCTCACTGCTCTCAGTTGGGCACATAGGCCCCTTGCCTTCCTTGCCCTTCATCCTCCAGATCGTCCAGGCTCCTCTGTCATCTTTCCCTGGGACTTGCTGACTTGTAGCAGACAGCGTGATAGTGGCCACTAGAATTTTTGCTTTTTCAGCACCTGGGAGAAGCCGTACCCTGCTCTTTGCCTTGCTCTTGGCTGATTCTGAGAGCTGTGGGGCTCTGGAGTTATTGTAGGCTGACTGTCAGCAATCCCTGCTGCCTGCCAGGCTCCTCCTAAAGACAGAATTCTTTATAGCCAGGGTCTCCAGACCTGGTCATCAGTGAACCCTCCACCAACCATCTTCTGTATTTCCCCCTTCACCTCCAGGACTCCATGGGAATATGTGAGCTCTGGAGCCACTGTCATGTCCCTGACCTGTCCCATTTTCTCTGGGGGGAGAAGGAATAATGACAACGCCCCATAGGCTGTGCAAGGACAGACAGATGAACACCATGGCATAGAGGAACTTTGAGGTGGTAACTCCAAGTCCCCAAGAGCAGCTCCTGAGAAGGGTTTAGTGTAGCTCTGGCATTACTCTAGGTAGAGCTGACCTCCCCCTTTATTGATTCATCACCAAGTCAGAGTGCCCTGACCTGGGAGCTGCAGCTTGCAGAAACCCCAGACACAGACTTCCCCCAGCCACTCAGACCCATTCTGCTTTGGAGGAAGCCGCTGTCCTGTGGTGGTGAGGCCAGCGTCTCAGAGCTTTTGGGCATCTGAGTAGCAGCATCCTCAGCAGCTGCTACTTATGAACTTGGACACACGTGGCAGCAGTGTTCAGCCTTGAAGATGCCCCAGAATCCTCCCCTTCCCTGAGGTCCAGCCACTGTCCTAGCAGGAGCATTGCTGTGTGGGATCCAGCAGGGCCTGTCACTGCCTCAGTGGCTGAGGAGGCTGGTGCATCAATGCCCTATGTCACAGGCATGCCCTGAGACCACAACTCCTGATCCCACACTCCGCATGCGTCTGTCTCACCTCCTCTTATAGAAAAGCTTTACAAACACAAGCGTACAGAGAAGCCATGTTACGAACTTGCTTCCGCAGTCACACCTTCTGTTACCTCTGCCTCAGTTCAGGTCACTTGGAGAAAGAGCCTGTGATAACCAAGCCAGGGTCACCTCTCATCACATGTTACAGGAGAGTCCCTTACTGGCTATTCTCCTCTTGCTTACCCTAGAGTCCCTAGAAGGTGATGTCTGGCTGCTGGGTTCCTTGAGGGGTGAGCAGACAACATGGTCTTAGGAATGTCATCCTCACAACAGTCAAAAGCAGCCAAGTCTGACATCCGCTCCAGAGACCCAAGTTCCAGCACTCATGTCTGGGCTCTGGGCTCAGGGTGCACTCCAAGTACATTAGCACCATGAAACTGAGCTCAGAGGGCTGCAGCTGATGAGGGCAGTACCGGGACACAGACCCAGGCCCGACCCATGCACAGCCCTTCTGGCTGGGAGGGAACAGCCAAACAAAGGCCCAGAAATGAGAAGCTGAGGGGTGGATGGATAGCTTCAGCCCACCGCTTACTTTGGCAAGAAGGATGGAGAATGAGATCAGAAAGACAGCCTGGCTGGCCGAGGTCACCAAGGATGGGTTTGGGGATGTTGGTAAGGGGGAGGGGGCCCTCAGACGGACAGTCCCAAGCTGTCGTGCCTTCTCTAAAATCTACACACACACAGCCCTTGCCATTGGGATCAGAAGCCTCGGCTAGTTCCAGAGCAAACGGAATATCAGCACAGAAAATTCCAGGAAAGGAAGAACAGCCAAGCCTGACATCCAAGCCCATGAAGAGCAGTCAAACACAGGAAGAGCAGGAGCCAGGCCCGCTGCAGGCAGGCCTCGAGCCACACTCACTGGAGGGAGGCAGGCCTGCCCATTGCTGCTCATCCAGGCTAGACCGACCTCCCTGGGTTGACTGGACTCTCATTACCCGGGCTCAGCCTTGGCCACTGTGGCAACAGTGCTCAGTCCTACCAGAAGCAGAGTTCTGGTGGGGAGAGGAGGGGATTGGCACACAGGAGAAAGATTTGGTTTGGGTGCCTTTTAGGCATGTGTGACAAAGTCTAGGGGAGGGACCTTGTTGAGGTCCATGCCATAAATTTCCCTGCAGTGCTGACACGTGGGGACATGGTAAAATGTGTGGAGCCACTGAGGAAGTACAGCCACTGCTCCTGCTGCAGGTAGCTGTTCCTGAGGTCACTCGGCCCCTGCCTGCTCAGTTTGCTGGGAGTGAGGGAGACACAGTGGCCTGCGGAACGGCCCCAAGCTCTCCCCCTGGAGCAGGATTGGGTACCGCTACAGAAGGCCGGCTGCTTGCGCTCCATCTCCTCCCTGCCTAGGAGGCCACACCACGTGGTTCATGACACAACTTCTCCTTGCCAGACCTTGACAAGGCCTAATCCAGACAGTGGTGGCCAGGGCCGGGCCACCACTCTTCCCTACACCTCTACAGAGGCACCCTCCTGGCTGCCCTGGAGGCCCTTGTCCCGTAGCAAGAAGGACCTCTGCCTCTTTGCCTGGACAGACCCTATCAAGGCATTGTCACAGCAGAGCTGTAATCCCTTCAGGCTGAGGTGTCCCGGTTTGGTTAGTCACTCACATGGTTATACTAACCCCAGCTGTCCTTTACTGGTGCTGTTCACACTAGGTGTCATACGACCTGTTTAGACTCCACCATGGCTTTGTCCCCACTTGATTGACAAAGGCAGTGAGGTCTGAAGGGCTTGAACCTGGGGTGGTGGCTCTGGAGCCCACATTCTCATGCAGCCACTGAGCAGCTAAGACCTGTCAAGGAAAGTTGCCTTTAACACACAGGGGAATTGAAAAGGCACCCTTCTCTTGTGACCTGCTCCCCACTCCCGAGAACTGGGGCTGCCCAGCTGTGGACACGGGTCTCCGTGCTGTGAAGGCTGACTTCCTGGTCACCCCCTCCTGGGGCTGTCCAGCCAGAATCTAGCACAGCAGGACTGCCCAATGTACCCTTAAAGATAGCTCAGGGACTGCACCCTGCCAGGTGCTCTCCATCCTCTTCCCCTAGAGGGCGCTGCTGCGGTTCCCCTGACTCTCCATGAACCAAGGTGCCTAATGCTAAGGTTTCGTGGGGTTTGTTTTTTGCAGTGAGCCACACTCCCAACACTGAGTTCGTACCTGGCTAAGAACCCAGCCTTACGCCTGAGCTCAGACTGTACGGCTGGCTCCCATTCTCAGAACGCAGAGCTGGTGGGGGAGGGGGTGGGGCCTGCCCACACCTGTCACCTCCCCTCCTTTCAAAGCTCACCTGGCCCATCCAGCTCCCAGCCACAGCCTACACCCAGCTCTGCCTTGTTGTCACTCACAGTGGAGCTGGAGGATGCTCATCTGCCAGTGTTCCAGAGGACCCCGCCATTCCCTCCCCACAAACCCAAACCCAGATGCATTTAGGGACCTAGTTTCTAAACACTGTTCCTTTGTTGACCACCATTGTGATGTTTTTATGTCACTACCATAAGTAAGAACTCAGTATTTTTTTGTCATTGAATAGAATTAGAGTAAAATACACATTTACAAAACAGCATCAGTTTGCATTAGATATTACTGCTTTCTGCCTCAAAACGGGGTGATGGTTAACAAACGTTAGTGTTAAAAATGTACTAAGACTCCTGAGAGACGCTTGCACCTCCTGCATTGTGTCTTTGAAACGAGGACACATGAGGGCCAGCGGGCTGTGCCACCACTGACAAGAGGTGGTCACTTCCTCACAGTGGAGGGGGATTGGAGCGATGGCAGAGGCGGGACCATTATTTTCCTCTTTTTTTTTTTTTTGCAGCACTAGGATTTGAACTCAAGGCCTCACACTTGCTAGGCAGGCGCTCTATTGCTTGAACCACTCCACAGCCCTTTTGTGATGGGCTTTTTTGAAAAAGGGTCTCACAAACTATTTGCCTGGGCTGGCGTCGGACCATGATTCTCCTGCTCTCCTGAGTAATTCGTATTACAGGTGCGAGCCACTGGTGCCTGGCGGGACCATCCGTTGAGTGGTCTGCTGGCAGGAACCCGAGATACTGCAGTTGACTTCCACCTGGCCACTGTGAGCTGCAAATCACACGTTGCCTGCACTTTATATTCCGCAGCCAGGTGGCGCTGGCCGTCCACACAGCCCCAGACACACCACATTGACCATCTGTGACATCTTGCTTACCTGTGGACTTCCAAAAACTGCATCCTGACCCAGGCTGCTTTTCATTCCAGAGAAGCAGAGAGGTTAAAGTATATCTTACTAGATCCCTGATACGGGTCCTAATCACTCAAGAGTCACGTAAACGGTACTGACTTTACAGTAAGTAGTGTGTCAGTTATAATTTATGAAGCAAAGGTAAGCCAGTGAAGTAAACTTTTCTAACATCTGTATTTCATACTGGCATTCCAAGTGACGCGTCTGTCAACAGGCGTCTGTGGCCACCTGGTGAACAAGGCACTGAAGGTTTGAGGGGACTCTTTGCAGGCCTTTCCCCATGGTAGTGGCAGCCTCGGTATGGGCAGCATCCCCACTCCGCCCTTGTCTGGTTCCACTTCTGCTCTCAGGCGGCCCATGGTGGTGCTGATGAATCCACATTCAGCTCCAGGTGCTTCTCAGAATGAGCTGGAATTTTGCTTCTCTTTTTGCATTTCTGTCCAGAAGGCTCAGTCCCTGGGAAACACTTGCCCCAGCCCAGGCTGCCAAAGCCCCTCTGTGGTCCAGGTGCCCACAGGCCTGGCCTCCAGGGCCATGCTGTACCATTGTGCTCGGCCCTGCGAGTTTGTTTCTGACGTCACTCAGTGTGTCCTCCTGGGAGCCTGGGCCTACAGTAGCCCTGGGAGAGACTGAGGCAGCAGCAACATGGGGAGGGGGCCTCGCAAAGTTAAGGTACAGTTCCCCAGGTCTGTGAAGGGCAGCTCTTAGAAAAATCACAGCAGCCTCGGAGTCCCCGCCCTGCTCCAGGCCATGGAAAGGGGCCCTCATCCCACAAGAGGGGCCATCGGAGTCCCCACAGGCTGGCAGCCTCCTGTCCTTGCTGCCTTAGAGGGGGTTAGGAGCTGGCAGAGCTCTAGCTCATTTTCCTAAGGCCTGGTGTGTGAGCAGAGAAGCCCGGATGGGCAGGGTCCCTAGAGAGGAGGGGAGCACCCTCCTTTGGGAAGGTATCTGTTGGCTGTGCCCAGACTGGGTGCCAGAGAAGGATCGCTGGAGATTTGGGATGCCATGACAGGCAGGATACTGGACCCCAGAATCACTTGCACAAAACCCTGAGAACCTGGAGCACATCAGTCTGTGCCTCAGTTTCCCCATCTGCAGATCCCTGGAGGGCCAGCTGTGGCAGATGACCTCTTAGGTGGGCTGCTTCCTGAGCACCACCCCAAGCCATCTTTCCCAGTTGTGCTAGACCACAGAGCACCTGGGCTCTGTCCTTCAAGCCCGTCTCAGGCACATAGCTTCCATCCACCCCAATTTTCCCCGTCTTCAGCCCCGGGGGCCTGGCCCAGCAGCTGTTTTCCAGCTTCTTTGGGCTGAAGTCTGAGTGCAACCCCACCTTGAGGCCCAACGTAAACCAGAGAAAGGGCAGGTGCTGAGGCGTGGAGGGGCCCTGCTTTCCGAAGCCCTTCCCAGAGTCCCTTTGGGTACAGCAGGGAAGACCCTCCCAGGGGCATTGAAGCAATGGCAGAGGCAGGACCATTCTTTTTTTTTTTTTTGCAGCTCTAGGATTTGAACTCAGGGCCTCATGCTTAGTAGGCAGACACTCTTACCACTTGAGCCACTCTACCAGCCTTTTTTCAGAATGGGTTTTTGTTTTTGGGTTTTTTTTTTTTTTTTTTTTTTTTTTTTTTTGACATTTGCGTGGGCCTGGATTCGCGCTACAGCTGAGGTAGCTGAGCTTTTAGACAAGCAACTATCCAGGGGCTGGCAATGAGGCTGGTCATGGGGTGGCACACCCAGACCAGAGATCTGGGCCAAACACAGGGCCTCTTGCCTGGTTCTGGCCTTGGTGTAAGCAAGGTGTCCCTATTATCAAGGTAAAGCCACTGAGGCTGTAGATGGATGCTCTGGTGGGGTGGCTTTGGGAAGGGGGCAGTCCACCAGGCCCCTTGAGCACAGCCTGGGGTTGGGGAGGCTTCTCTCCCCTGACCAGGTTCCCAGGCAGGACTTTGTGATGCCACAAACAGGCCAGCCTGGCCCCTTGTCCTACAGGGGCCCTGGGGCCAAATCGGGGGAGGGGCTGGGGGACTGCCAGCTCCACTGTGCCTGCTCCTCCCCTGCCAGCTGGCTGCCTCTGCCACCTGCATCACATCCAGCCGTTTATCAGGTGAGCGGGGTCCCTCAACAGAGGGGTTCTCCAGGGAGGTGGTGGCCAGGCCTTCTGGACCTAGAATGAGGAGGGTCACACTTGTGGCCACTAGAGAGTCAGGTGGACCTGGCTGCTCCTCACACAGCCTTGGTGAGTGCTGTGACCTCTGAGTCCCATCTCCCAGGCTATAAAGTGGACTTCCTGGCCTCTTCATGCTGGAACGTGCAGTGAGCGCCTTGAGGGAGGCCCACACACACTTCGGAGCATCGAGCGTGCTCAGAACACAGCATCTACCTCAGGCCGTAGAACTGACCGCCAGTCACTCCCGTCTCAGCCAGGCCCAGCCTCTCCTCGGGTTTCCAGCCCTAGCGGGGTCCCTAGCACCATGTGGTCAGAAAGTCCCTCACCAAACCCTCCCCCTCCAGTGGACCCAGGCAAGCCCCTTCCTCCTGGTGGCCACGGGCAGTGCCTCTGGCTCTGTGGCTCTCACTGCCTGCATCAGGCCTTCAGGACAGCTTCCTTGCTCCTCTCTTCTTTTTCTTCATGTCACCAGCTCAGCAAAGGTGGACAAGACCAACTGAGAGAAAGCCTTTACTGAGCCTGATGTTGCAAGGCAGGGGGCAGCACAGGAGGGGTCTCCCAGCTGCTCACTGTGAGGGTAGCAGCCTGCTTACATAGCCAGAGGTGGGAGACAAGGGGGTCTGCACCAATCACAAGCCCCTCATGTAAATGAAGGATTTCATTTGCACCAATCACGATCTTCTGTTGGGCCTACGTGCTCCTCCCTCTCCCTATCTATAAGCGCCTGGAGGGCAGCCCGCTGGAGGGGGTGCCGGAGGAGATGCCAGTGTGGACGCCGCTGGCCTGCACCCTTTCCCAGGTTGCACCTGGCTGCTCTGACCCCGCCACAGCATGTGGGGTCCCTGTGTCTGGGATCTCTAGATTCAATCCACATGGGTGGATTTAGGGCCCAGGATGACCCTTTGCAGTTACATCTGCAAAGTCCCTTTTTCCAAAAAAGGCCACGTCCCCAGGTTCCTGGGGCTAGAATTGTGGACATGCATTTGGAGGGGACACGATTCAGCCCAGGGCGCCCCGTTGTCCCCTCTCTCTAGACATGATGGTATCTGACACGATGGGAGGCCCTCAGCCCCGGTGCTGTAACCGCTCGCTGGAGGGAGCTCTGACAGATACGACTCGTATAATAGTGAGATGTTGAGGAGAGGATTGAAAGACGAAACATCCAGAATATTCCAGATAGACAGTCCCTTTGGGAGGACCTAGAGCATCCCTCGTTTCTGGGTGGGCAACCCGTCACAGGGCTGAGGCCCTTGACCCTCGATTTTCTGCTGGCTTGTAGTCATTACCACTGGGCAGGACCATCCCAGGTCCTCCCCGCCTCCACTGCTCTCCTGCAGCCCCACTCCACACAGCACCCACAGGTGCTGGCCAGCCCCAGCACCTGGGGTGCTACCCCTTGAAGCCCAGCTGCATACCTGAACCTCTCCCACCCCAGCCTCAGCCTGCGTTGTGCTGCTCTGTGATTGTCACCCATCCCCACCCCTCGGTGAACACCACCACCACCCGGCGCCTGGGACCACCACGCCCCCAACCACCACGCGGCCATGCCCAGGCATAGCTTGGCCTTCTGCCTCTGACTGTCTCTCGGGGGGTGGGGGGGGGGGAGAAGAGAACAGAAAACACCTTCCCAGTGTGGGGGTTCAGATAAACAAATGAACAAGTAAACGTAAAGTATATGAAGTGGTGGAGGGGCCCGGGTGCAAAGGGCAGGAGGTGCTGTTTTGTGCAGGTTACTCTGGTCTCATTGAGAACTTGAATGGAGACCTAAGCAGACTGGGGAAAGTGAGGCGTGGATATCAGCGAGTATGGTAGGCCCAGGGAATATCATGTGCAAAGGCCCTGAGACAGGACCGTGTCAAGGAAGCAGAGAGGGGGAGAGGAGGGTCAGATCAGTGTTGCCCCCCCCACCCCGGTATAAACAGCAGGGGATGTTTAACCCCTGCTGGTACCTGCAGGGGCTGGTATAAACATACCAGGGT